CCCATTCATTGTTAAGGCCCCTACATTAGGGCTTTGCGGTTTCAGGATTTGGACGTTGTAGGCTTCAGGTGTTAGGGCCTGCCCGGGCTTCCGCCATCAATGTTAAAACACTGATGCCTTGAAGCTCGAAGCCTTTTCTAAGGCCTGAACAACAACGGGGCTGAACTCGTAATGCGATAGTGGGCCATCTATGGACCTATATTGGCATTGCTATTGCTGGTGTCATTGGTATGCAGGCAGATATATAGATAGATAGGTAGGTAGGTAGGTAGGTAGGTAGGTAGGTAGGTAGGTGGGTACGTAGGTAGTGAGGTAGAAAGCCTCTTCTCACAACTCTGTGCTCTTCGCCCGAAGGTTTTGCCGGGGCGGCAGCTTAGATCAGATGGCATTGAGGATCGATTGTCTCAATGCGCTCAAGCAGGCTCGCGGACATGTTGGGGGGGAATATGTTCAGATTTGCATATATATGTATATAGATTATAGAGAGTGTGCTGGTGTACTACTGTTGGTTGTTGCTGCTTCTACTACGTATTTTACTACTGCTACTACTGCTACTATTACTACTACTACTACTACTACTACCACCACTACGACGCACCGCGCCCCACGGCCGCCTATGCGCGCGGTAACAATCGCAACGAGCACATGTGTTATCTACATTATTCGTTATCCGAAACATCAGGAAAATCTTGCTCCAACTACTTGTGCGAGAGCCAAATTTTGCTTTCATGGGGATGGATGCGCTCCTCCGAACGTCGTTATCTACAGCATGTCGTGCTTTCCGATGTTGTCCGAACAGCTGCAAGCAGGTGTATTTGCGGTGTCTTTTGCTTTTGCACAGTGCTGTCTTGTTCCGGGGAAAGCCGCACTTGGTTCCCACACGCTTCACGAGTGCTAGAAATGCGGCTTGAGCTGGCATTAACACTCCTACTACTACGCACCCCTCCTCCTACTACCACTACTACCACCACTGCTACTACTACTATACTACGACGACGACTTCACTGCACTTGATCTGAGAGACTTCGGATCTTTGGTTCAGGCTTGAAGGCTTTCAGTCAGGGCCTTCGGGGGCTTTGTGGGGAGAAATGAGAGTCGGCTGTAGGGTTTCGGGTTCAGGGTGCAGGGTTTAGGGTTTTGTGCTTGGGTTTAAGGTGTAGGTTTGCGGTTCCTGGTGCCTGGTGGGTGGACAAATGTCGTGCTTTGTTTATGCTTTCACGCCATGTCTGTTGAGCGTCTACGTACTTGTTCGTCTCTTGCTCAGGAAGATCGGTATATAAGACCCTAAACCCTAAACTCTAAACCCTAAACCCTAAACCGTGCACGGAACCGCACTCTTTTGCGGCATAATTAGGACCTTGAACCCTGGATGACAACCCAACATCCCCCTAAACCCTAAAGCCCTAAACCCTAAACCCTAACCTCCCCCAAACTCGTCTACACACCTTAGGCTCACATTTGCCCGGACATCTTGTATAGTCTCGTCCTTGGGGGGCCGGAGACTTTACAGGATGAGCTGAGACCCCTGAGAGAAATGTGATACAGTAACCCTCACCTACTCCAAGAATCCCAAACCTCTGTGGACTCGACACCCTCAACCCTAAACCCTACTCCAAAAATCCCAATCCTCTGTGGACCCTAAATCCTAAACCCGACTCCAAGAATCCCAAACTGCCGGACGAGTGGACCCTCGCAACTCCTGAAAACCGAACGAAGGCCAATGAGTGGGGAGCCAGATGTCACGAGAAAGGCCACCGAGCTTGTAGCCTCGCAGGGTTTAGGAATACGACTGCCCATGGCTTGTTAACGGTTTAGGGTTTAGGGTTTAGGGTTTAGGGTTTAGGGTTTATGGTTTAGTGTTCTTGGTGACTTACAAGTGCTATGTTGTCCAAGCACCTGTTTGACAACTTGTTGAAGTCAAGGCTCTAGCAATTTACGGGCAGGGCGGCTTAAATGGATTCCTTAAAGCCTCATTACCAACCATCAGTCTTTATGATTTCGCTCTGTTTTTGTTGCACTCGTGCTGGCCACTCAGCCGAATTATGCACACCAGACTTTGTCCGATCTTTGCCGGCTTACCTGCTTGTCTACCGTGTGCTTTGGTTGCAAGCGTCTTCCTGTGTTTACGGCTCACGGTGTATGTCGGGAACTTATAGACACCCTCCCCTCCCCCCATGACCTACCTCTTTATCTCTGTTGCTGTAAATTCCGTAGTGTGAAACGTGTCTTCCCCAACAGTCTTTTCTCGCCTCTGCGCCGTTGTGGCCTTTCCATTCTTGCCGGGTGCTGTGTGTACAATTACGAACAGAAGACAGTCGCGCGCGCATCCCCCGAAGCCCGAAACCATGCACCCTAAACTCCAATCAAACATTTCAAACTTCCGAAACCCTAAACCCTAAACCCCAATCAAACATCCTAAACCCCATACCCGAAACCCCAATCAAGCTTCCTAAACCCTAAACCCTAAACCCCAATCAAACTTCCTAAACCCTAGACCCTAAACCCCAATCAAACTTCCAAAACCCTAAGCCCTAAACCCCAATCAAACTTCCTAAACCCTAGACCCTAAACCCCAATCAAACTTCCTAAACCCTAAACCCCAATCAAACTTCCTAAACCCTAAACCCTAAACCCCAATCAAACTTCCCAAACCCTAAACCCTAAAGCCCAATCAAACTTCCTAAACCCTAGACCCTAAATCCCAATCAAACATCCCAAACCCTAAACCCTAAACCCTAAACCCAATCAAGCTTCCCAAACCCTAAACCCCAATCAAACTTCCTCAACCCTAAGCCCAAAAAGACCCTGAACCGATACCGTAAACCGCAGAAGGAGACTCCAATCCCTAAGCTGAAACCGTGATACTTTTTGGGGTCCCTTTCAGAGCCCCCTTTTACGGTTCGTTAGAGGAATCTATAAGGTCTCTATAAGGTTCCTATATGGGTAGTTCTCTAAATTGGGTCCATTCTTGGGTCGCCAACCTTACAAACAAGACCCTAAAAGGGACCCTCATTTAGAGAACTACCCAGGTGGAGACAACCACCGAAGCCAACGGAAACAGAGACTCCAAAAACCTCCGTGCTCGGCCGTAAGATCTGACTTTTGCTTTAATTTAGGGTCGGCATATTTGGTACTGTTCTTAAGCCCTCCACGTAGTACATCGTAATACTAAGATCAGATCATATCCGGGGAGCTTTAGGCCCGGAATGCACCCGAAGAGGAATGTAAAAGAGCCAAGACTACAGTACAATTGTTTGTTGTTGGGTACCAGTATGGGGTCGCCTAGTGCTACAAGGCTGGGGAAATGCGTATCGAAGCGAGCGCTTTCTCGTGCAGAGTTTAGCGATTATCTCAGCATCCGAAGTGTTAGGATTGCAAGAGCGAGTCTGTACTAAAACCCGTGAGTTCAGTTCCTTTGCCTTTCAGACTTCAGGGTTTTCAGAGTTCTGCGTTGCCTTGGAATTTGCAAGAACTGCAGCCAACATGGCCACTACAGGCGACACATAGTGTTTGGTAGTGGGGGCCTTCAAAATTAGGGGGAAACGATTCATAGGGTTCCTCACGAGTTTATAGTATTGCCCCAAACCTTAGTCGATTTTTCAAAACGACCATGCTTCCATATTACACCTTGTGGCTTTGGGTGAGAGATGGTCTTGCCTTCCAAACCGCGCGGTCAGGGACGGGTTCTGTTTAGCCAGAAACCCTTAACCCTGAACCCTAAACCCTAAACCCGCACCTGAAAGCCTGCCTCCCGATTTCGAAACCGTAGTAGAGCACCCACCCCAAGCGTACGAGGAGTTCAAGCCGCCGAAAAGCAGGTTATGCTAAAGTCCAGCAGAGCTTACGGAGCTGCAAGCCCAAGCCCAAGACCGATGGAAATCTGAAGGTTACCAGCAGAAGGAGTTCGAATACCTGGAGAAGGTGAACGACATGTCCCACCAGTGCATGATGAAAACCACCACCACGACCCTCGCATGGATGTTTGCGGTTTTAGCATTCAAAGGGTCCTTGCATTAGGGTTCGACCTGCTGTGGTAGCCAGCTAACGTTTCAAGACTTTCCTGGCGGAGGTGTTTGCCAACCTCATCGGATCACTCTTCTCCTTTATGCCCTTATTCTCCTTTGGACTTCATCATTGCTTTTGAGCTTTTGCTGCTGGTTCTAACCCTCTGGACTGCTGTTCCCGCACAGCAACTTCAGCTGCGTTACTTGTGGGATTCTCTTCGCATTGAGCTTGCAGAAAAGTGATCGCCCTTGGTTCCAGAATGTTCCACATTGTCAGTCGCGGCCGAGACTGTGGCCGTGAATGGCCTGACCAAGATCACCTTGTTTAACCCACAATGGGTGAATGCTTTGGACATGTGAATATTTAGCGCGCGCATCTCCGTATTGTCCCAATATTGTCGTAGTCTGTTATAGTATAATGTACCCCAATGCCCAAAGCCTTGTTTTTTTTTACAAGGCCCTTTTTTAGGCATTGATCAAATGCTGGCCGAAGGTACTGAGAAGGAATCCACTCCAGGGGTTTCTGAGATCTGTGTCTTATCAGCAACTCAACAGGCCCATGGTTGAACCTTGGACTAAGGACGACCACTCCCGGCAGATTGCTGTACTGCTGGGTGTTCCTTGGCTGTGGTTTCTTCCTCCAGGAACCTAAATAACGTTAATCTGCAGTGCAGGATCCCGAAACCCCAAATTTTTCAGGCCTAAGACCCGAAGCCCTAAACAACCCTGAGTTCCAACCCGCGAAACTGCAAAACTCGAACCCCCTAAGCCAACCCTGAGCCCTGTGATTCTTCCATGCTTCCTCGCCCCTAGGGTTTAGGAGCAAAGGGTGTAGGGTTTAGGGTTTGGGGCTACGGCCCATGTCAACCCTAAGCTCGTTTCCCCAAACCTTGAGGACCCTAAAACCCCTGAAGCCTGAACTCAAACCCTAAACCCCAAACCCCAAACCCTAATCCTAAACCCAAACCCTACATCCTGAACCCTAAACGCCCTAAACCCTAAGCCTTAAACCCTAAACCCTAAAAGCCCAAGCCTTCAACCCTAGACCCTCAAAAATGCAACACCCCCGCCCTCCAAGCCCCCATGGCCCTGAGCTCCGCACCCCCGGCCCCAACGCCCGAAACCACAGAAACCCCGCACGGTTTAGGGTTTAGGGTTTAGGGTTTAGGGGTTTAGGGTTTAGGGTTTAGGGTTTAAGCCCCTCGCCCCCAAAATGCAGCATCAACCTGAGACGCACGAGCTGAAATGAGCGCACTTTGCATTTTTTTTTGGGGGTAATGTGATATGATCCCTTATAGAACTGAAAGTGTACACTTTCCTTGGCTACTGACCTTCGAACACCGTCAACTTATCAGACGGCATTAAAGCCTGTGAGGCCTTTCTTAAAACCCAGAATTACGGCCCGAAGCCCTAAAACCCTAAAGCCCTGAAGCCGAAACCCCAAACCCCAACACCTAAGACCCTAAACCTAAAGCCGAAACCCCAAGCCTCAAACCGAAACCACTTAATCCCTACACCCTACACAAACCCCAAAAAAGACACTAAAACCCTAAACTCCCTAAACCCCCTAAACCCTAAACCCCAAAAAACCCTAAAACCCCCAAACACCAAAAAACCCTAAAACCCTAAAACCCCCAAACCCCCTAAAGACCCCCCATGGCTCATCTTCAGGCTCGTGGTGCCCTGGACCGGGGAGCCTGACCTGCTTCTCTTACATCAGCAACTCAAGGCCCCCAAATATATTTTGGGTTTTTCGGTTTAGGGTTTTAGGGTTCAGGGTTTAGGATTTTGGCATTGTTTAAAGCTTTTTCGGTTTAGGGTTTTAGTGTTTTAGGGTTTTGGATGTTTTTTGTTTAAGGCTTCCAGGGTGGTGTTGAGGGTTTTTGTGGTGTTTTTTCGGGCTTAGAGTTGTTTTGGCTTTTTGGGTTTAGGGCTGATGGTTTAGGGTAGAGGGTTCTTAGGCCTTTAGGTTTCAGGGCTTTCTGTGAACAGGTTTACCGCCCAAGAGTCCTATAGGTTTCGAGTTCTTGCCGCGTTTTCCCATTAAAAGGCTTAGGGTTTAGGGTTGAGGCATGTCGTCATGGTTTAAGGATTGGGAGTAAGGGTCCTGTGTTTAAGTCTTGCAAGGTTTAGGACCCATCGTGTTTAGTGTTCCGCTACCATGAATTCCGCACTTTCTTGGCACTGTCCTACTTCTTCGGGTTTAACATGGGGCCCTAACCCTAGCCCTAGATCCTAATTCTACACACTGGGGGTTGAAGGTAAGCTTCGAGTTGCCTTTTCAAGATCCATGCACAATGTAACCTGCCGAAACCTATTTTTCTGTAGGCTCCATTCCGCTAGGACCCTACGCGGCAGTGGCTCTGGTAGGCAAAGGTTGGGATAAACGAGAGTTGACGGCTCCCTTCGGCCTGGGACGCCTGCGTTGATGTAGCGGGGGATGCCGCACAAGCCCATAAGCCACAGGCCCACCAAAACTCTATAGTGCAAGCCCCACTGAAGACCATGAGCGATACCGGTTTAGGATCCTGGCATCCATTGACTTTGGGTTCCGATAAACCCTAAACCCTAAGCCTAACTACCCGGTGCCAGTTGAGTTTTGACAGGCTGGGATCACGTCCTGCGATGGCTTCGACGTGTTCTCCGACAGGCCCGCCCAAGCCGGAAATTCTGAGCCCGTCGCTCTCAACCCTGGCCCTATTTGGGCTTTAGGGTTTAGGACCTAAGCCCTAAATCCCAGATCCATCCAACGTAGGCCCTGGCTCGCCCTGAAGCACAAAGCCCTAAACAAGCCACAAAGTGCCTAAACCCTAAACCCTAAACCCTAAACCCTCTCCCGGTAGGGAGTTTCGGCTACTTCGGCAGTTGGCAAAGGGCCCGCCAAAAAAAACAAAAAACCTAAACCCTAAACCCTAAACCCTCTCCCGGTAGGGAGTTTCGGCTACTTCGGCAGTCGGAAGAGGGCCCGCCAAAAAAAACAAAACCTAAACCCTAAACCCTAAACCCTCGCCCGGTAGGGAGTTTCGGCTACTTCGGCAGTTGGAAAAGGGCCCGCCAAAAAAAAACAAACCAAAACCTAAACCCTTACCCCAAAAGGATAGGTTGGACCTCGAGATTCCAGTAGCCTCAATGGCTCTCGTTGTGCTTCGTAGCCCTGCGCAACTGCAGCAATGTTTGCGTACTATTGAAGCTGAAATAGCTACCTACATTACTCCCTAGGGTTCCTCATGATTATATAGTATAATCCACCCCAAAACTCTCTTGTGATGTTTACAAGGTCCTTGAATTAGCCAAAACCTGCTTGTGCATGCCACAGTGCTGGCCTCAAGCTTCCAGCTTCCAGCCCCAAGGCCTTGCAACCCTGGGCTTTATTTAAATCCCTAAGCCCCAAACCCTGAACCTTGAACCCAAATTGCTAACCCCAAACCCTAAACCCTGAACCCTAAACCCAAAACCCCAAACCCTAAACCCTGAACCCTAAACCCAGACCCTGAACCCGCCCTGAACCCTAAACCAAATTCCCAAACCTAAAGCCGCGGAGCCCTAGCGATTCGGGTGCTCCGATGTCGTTTCATGGGCTTTCGGGTTGTATGATTGCAGAGAGATGCGTATCACAAGCGCTCGGGCCGCTGAAGCCCCACATAAGTCATAAGGACCCTTAGGGGGGTAGGGGCAGGAGGCCTTCATACCTGTGATAAGGACCTAAGAAGGCCTGCTTAAGGAAGGTCGAGTCCCCTACCCCCTCCCCCTTAGCCTCCCTGAGAGTCCCTATGAATAACCCCGAAGACCTCTATGCACTAAACTCTAAACCCGAAACACGAATCATGACAACCTCACAGCCCCAAAGCCTTCAAATCCTGAACTCTTGCTGAAGACTGCACCGCAACAACCCTGAAGTCTTACTCAAACTGCCTCACTCAAACCCCGAAACCCTATAGACGCTGACCCTGAATCTGTTCGGCTCGAGAGGAAGATGCGCATCGGTAGCCTGGACACCATCGAAATCAGCGACCTCGACTTGCACTGCAAGATCAACCCGACACTTGCTTGGAAGAAATGGGGGCGTATGGCTTTATGTAGGATTTAGAGTTCAGGGTTTCGGGTTTAAGCTGAGCAAGGAGCTCGGAAAGTTTAGGTTTTAGGGTTGGGAGTCTAGGCTCGATAGAGTCTTCTACAGTGTACAACATCCTGGTGACCTCAAGATAAAGTGCATGGAATCCCACCATTCTAAACTCTTACACCCTACATGCGTTGTCAAATCAAACTTTCTGGGGATGCTGGGTCAGATTTGTAGAGCACGGCGGAACTACGGCTGATGAGAAAGATCCTGCATTACCCATAATCAGGAATATACCCGAATTCCCATAGGTTAGGGTCCCTAAAGTAATGCAGGGTTTATATCGTCAACAGTATGGGGCTCTCCATACATGGGATCTTATTGATGGTTTTTGGACATGCAGCGTCAGGTGTCGGTAGATTGCTTCGGCGGTTTATGGCAGGAGTTTTTGTTGAGTTTGGGGGTGTAGCATCGGGTCACTGGACAGGTTTGGGGTCTGGTGGCGGGGTTAATGTAGAGGCCTAAATAAGTACCAATACTATTTGGGGAATACATATTATCATTAGAGTATAGTGGGCCCCCAAACCCTATTCTAATTGTTAAGGCCAGAGGTAGGGCCGTTTTTGGTAGGCTTGTCCGAGGCCGAGAACCATCATACCTGGCGAGGGAAAGGAGGTGACGGGCAAGTTAGTAACCGCACTTAAACGGTATGAGGTTCGGAGCTTATTGGGAAGAGGGTTCGGTTCTTGTTCTGAGGTTCTCCTGTGGCGGGTTTGGTTTCAGGCAGGATGTGAACATATTGGTGGTGGTCGCAAAGTACACTGTAATGCCCTTGCCACAGCCGGAGGGGCTAATGCTCCCAACCCTAAACCCGACACCCGGACTCATGCCCCCAAACTCACTTCATCGCGGGATCCCTCTTGCAATCCGTAGAGGAACTCGTGTAGGAACCCTTGAATTCGTAAAGAGTTCTCGGAGGCCCCTTAGTCGGGCCCCCGACACGAGGCAGACGTTGACCGTCGAGAACACCCACATTTTCCGAAAGGCGTGGAAGAAAGTCCTCGACAAGCTGACGTGGGAGCAGTACGAGTGGACCGTCAAGGCGCCAAGTGACCTGCATTCCGATGACTAGCATGGCTACTGCTATCTACTCCCGCTGCGACAACCGCGACGACGACGAGGACGATGACGACGACGAGGAGGACGACGACAGCAACAACTGCGGTACTGCTATTAAGATATTGTTACAACTGCTACTACTTACTACTACTCCTGCTGCTACTGCTGCTGCATCGAAGATGGCTACTATTGCTGAAGGTACTTTCAGGTGTTGGTGTTGTCATTACTCCAGCTACTCCAAAAAGCTCCTGACCCTGAAAATTGAATAAGATTTTTGGTTGGGGGTTTGAGCAGAAAGTTCAGACTGGTTGGTCATATTGTCATTTCATGGTCCCGAATGTAAGCGGCACTCGTACTTCTACAGTAGCAACCGGAATAGGCTGGAAAAAAAGCAGATGCCAGTAGCCATTGGAAAGCGTGGAACAAAAACGCTATACCCTAAACCCCAAATATAAGCCCTAAAGCCCAAACGCCCTCAACCTTCGCAGTACTAGCAGCGCAAGGGAGCGCTCCAGTTGGGGTTCCTTTTTATTTTTAAGTCCCAAAACTAGTACGGCACCCCAATACGAAGGACCTGAAAAAGGATCCTAATTTTAGACAACTACCCATATGCTGGCAGTAACCAACCAGTAGAGTTGAGAAGTAGCATCAGTGGCTTCTCGTCGTCGTTTCAGTTGTCGTCGTCGGTCGTAGTCGTAGCAGCCATAGTGCCAGAGCAGCTTGGTTGCATAAGCAGTTGCTGCAATGATATGGCTACTGAGTCTCAGCATCATTCAAATCAGCCCACTAAGCCCTAACCTCGAAACCCTTGAGCCCTTACACCCTATACCTTAAACCACTTTAAAACCCTAAGCTCTAGTTGCGGCCACCCGGACCAGGTTGATCTAGACGCGGTGTTCTTCCCTGATCGGTTGGGCGCGCTGCTGAAGGCCATTTTGCGTTTTTTGCGTTCAGGGTTTAGGGTTTAGGGTTTAGGGTTGAGGGGTTGGGGCTTCTGGGTCTTCGAGTTTGGCGCTTAGAAAGCTTTGGGGGTTTTGATTTGGTCTGAGCGGTGTTACGTCTCAGGATGTGCATTAGGGATGAAGGGCACACAGGGTCACAGGGCCTTCTGGTTGCAGGGCCTGGGCTTTGAGATGCGGTATGCATCTGAGTCTGCTGCCACTTGCGGGCTTTCACAACAGCTTGCCGGGGAGAGGGCACAGTTTTTAGGGAGCGTCCGGGAGCAGCGAACATAGAGTTGCATACGAGGGCTCGGTTTGATGATCAACTTTGCACGTCCGAGTCCTTGAAAACCCAAACATCGCTCTGATGTCAGTCCCTGGGGCTAGCTACCTGTAGTCTCCATTGTAGTTCCTTTTTTTGGTTTAACCAATTATATATACAGGAATTTATAAGGTATCCCCAAAAAGAACTACAGTGGAGACTATAGGTATATGGCCAACCTAAGTCTGCATCCCTTTAGCCCCAAGGTGGCCCACACAGTCTTCCCTGTCACAGGATGCCTGGATACGGAGCCATGCCCAGATCGGCAATGGCGTCTGGCTGAACAACTGCCACTGGTCTCAAATTGTGTTGCCCAAAGGGTCTAAGTACTTATATGGTAGATATTTTGGGGCCCAAAATATCTACTATATGGGTACATGGACCCTGTGGGTTGAGTTAATTGATGTAGTATGTACATCTGTCTAAACGTAAACTCAAACAACCATAAACCCCGAGACCCTACACCGTAAACCCAGAAATTTGTCATTCTCCTGTTTCACAGGCTTGTATGCTGCTGTCATTTCATGGGGCACACGCGCATTCGTGGGTACCGTAGGTCATGTACAGAACCGAGAAGTGTGAGGTTCGGGAGTTGGTGTTTGGCCCCACGAAGTTCTCTCACGTCACACCCTCAACCCAACTAGGTTCTCTCACGGTTTTTGTTCCACGTACTTGGAATCCCTCTGCGTCGCAACCCCATGGACCATGTGGGGGTTTCCTGAATCGGAAGAAGGGCTACCGTATATAGGGGTGCTTAGACTACCTTAACCTACCAAAACCTACTTTTTGTAGGGTCCCTATAGATTCCATATAGCTCTCATAAGAACCTACAAAAAAGTAGGTTGTGCGAACTTAAGGTAGGGATCGTAGTTCCCTTTCATATTATGGGACACCTTGGCTAATCTCACATTTCTAGCCGACAGCCTGAACCCTAAGCCCCAAGAACGGGAGGTCGCAAGACCCCCCTGAAATCCCGGAAGCGAGGCTGGCGTGGCTTGCATGGGCCCATTGAGGTGCTCTCGATGCGTGCGATGCAGGCAGGGGCGGCCGTCGGGCCCAGGGCTACCCATAGGCCCCATAGTAGTTCCTTTTTGTGGCTGTTTATTTAGGATCCTATCAGGGAATCCCAAACTACTATGGGGCCTATGGGTAAACCTCCATGCATACCCCTACTGAACAAAGCCACATTTATTGGCAAGGGTTATGAGTTTGTGGGGGCCAAAAGAGAGGGATTCATTAGCGGTCCCCTCACAAAGCCTTACAGAATCAGGCTTCTAGAGCCATCAGCACGTCTCCCTGAACCCGAAACCCCAAACCCTAACCCTATAAACCCTAAACCCCATCCTAAATCCCAAAATCCTAAGACCCAAACCCCAAGCCCTAAATCCCAAGTCCGCCTCGGTGAGGTCTATCATCAACATTGGGCCGAGTGCGCCTCCGTGGCTGCCTCCCGACCCCAAGAGGAATCCGAATCCTACAGCTCTGGTTTGCAAGGGCTTAGGGCTTAGGGTTCAGGGTTTAGGGGTTTGGGGCTTAGGGGTTAGGGTTTCGGGTTTAGGGGTTTAGTAATTAGGGGGTAGGGGTTTTAGGGGTTTAGGGTCTAGGGCTTTCGGGCCTAGAGGTTTATGGTTTAGGGGTCTAGGCGGTTTGGGGTTCTGGGTCTTGGGGATTTATAGAAACTCTGCGGGCGGGTGACAGGGTCTTGAGAAAGTGAGTGCTTTGAGTGTTTATGTCATGGGGCTGTATATGGCTGAATGGAACATGAGCCCTCAGCCCTAGACCCCTAAACCACCCTAAGGCCTAAGCCAAAAAAACCCTAAACCCTAAACCCTGAACCCTAAGTCCTCAACCCTAAGCCCTAAACCCTAAGCCCTAAGCCCTAAACCCCTACACCCTAAACCCCTAAGTCCTCAACCCTAAGTCCTCAACCCTATGTCCTAAACCCTATAAGCCCTAGCTCCGGTTGACGATTCTCGAGTTGCCAGGTTGGGGTTTACCTTATAGGATTCTATATATGAACCCCAAAAAGGAACTACTTTAGGGCCTATGACTACTGTAGTCATATCTGAGTTGCCAGGATGGGGTCTACAGGGCCCAGAGGTTGCTAGCTGCTAGTTTTACTTTGTTGTCTTGCAGGATTTTGGGCTTCCTAGATTTCGCTTCAGGATTCAGGGTTTAGGGATTCCGGGTGTAGGGTTTAGGATATTCAGGATTCAGGGTTTAGGGATTCCGGGTTGAGGGTTTGGGGTTTAGGATATTCACGATCGAGGGTTTAGGGTTTAGGGGTTTAGGATACTCAGGATTCAGGATTCCGGGTTTAGGGTTTAGGGTTTCAGGGTTTAGGGTTTAGGGTTTAGGGTTTAGGGTTATTTAGGGTTTAGGGTTTCAGGGTTTAGGGTTTTAGGATTCGTGGAAGGTCCTAGGCTGCCGAGAGGCAGAGGGGTCACGACGCGTGTTCCTCATGATCCTGTTTTCGGCATCCGATGGTTGATGAGTTGATGATATATTTTATCCTGCATTACTTTATAAGGACTCTGAACTTTAGGAATTATGGCAGATTCCTTATTATGACTCTAAATTCTAAACTATAGGAATTGTGGTAGATTCCTTATTATGACTCTAAACCATAGGAATAATGAATCTATCACGCAGCACGCAAGCTCTCCCTTCCTTGGTAGGCCCAAGCCCGAAACGCCAGGTCCAAAAGAAGATCTTGCGATATAGTTAGAGTTTGGGGATTTAGGGTTTAGGGATTTAGGGTTCAGGGTTTAGGGAGTTAGGGTTCAGGATTTAGAGATAATATAGTCCCTCTATCACACTACCTCGATTTGCCCGAGAACTCAGGCCTAAATTTTCGACCCATATACGACTGTACCCCTTAAAAACCCACGCTCGTAGTAGACCCCTTTGCGCAACTTTAACATGATAATTGCGAGCAGTATCCCTTGCAGTCCCGTCTTCATTATAGCCTACAGAAGATACCACAAAAAACGCTGTTCAAACTCAAAGGCCCTAGACCCTAAACCCTAAACCCTAAACCCAAACCCTATACCCTAAACCCTAATTACACTCCTCGTTGGCAGGACGTTTACCTTGGCAGCTGCATGCATCATCTCGGGGTGCATCGCCACGACGCCTGGAGCCTGCTTGCCGAGGAGCGGGGGTTTAGGGTTTAGGGTTTAGGGTTTAGGGTTTAGGGTTCGGGGAAGCGCAGCTCAAACCCTTTCCTAAAGTAAACTCGCAGCCCAAAACCCTAAACCCTAGTCCCTAAACCCGGAATCTCTAAACCCTGAATCCTAAATCGAAATCCATGACGCCCCCGGGGTTCAGGATGCAATTGGACCCGTCTATTCTCAAGGTTTAGGGTTCAGGTTTAGGTTTTCGAGTTTAGAGTTTAGGGTTCAGGGTTTCGGGTTTCGGGTGTGCATTGGAGCCTGCAAAGGTTTTCTAGATGGGTGGCTGGAGACAAAGTACTATAGGGGCCTTAAATCATACCAACACTATTTTTTCTTGAGAGGGGGGCTCCTTATTATAATTCTAGTATGATATACCACAAAACCATATTCCAAATATGAAGTCCCCTACATTATTGACTACTGGAGGCACCTGGACCTTGACTATAAGGAGAGGCAAGCACGAAGCCCCATGCCTTCTAGGATCCTAAATATACACCACAAGAAGGAACTACAGTGGAGCCTACAGGTAGTCATTTTTCACTGCCGTGGGGCACCATCGGCATCCCGAGGGCGACGCCATGAACTACAGACACGCTGAATAACCGAGCCACAAACATTAGGAGGCCCGTATAGAGCTGGTGCAAGAAGACATAAATGGAACAGGTAGTCATTACAAGATGTAAACGGGACAGATTAGACCAACAATACATGTGAAGTCAGATTACCCGTTAGTACAAGCACAAGATGTGGAAGCCCTTAAGAGTAATGCATAAGGAACCCCAGCACCAATTGTCCTTAATCCGGTTTCCAACTTTCTGAGGTTCAACCCTACTATAAACCCTAAAACTCGAAAGCTCTAAAACCCTGAAGCCCTAAAACCCTAAACCCTAAAGCCCTAGAGCCCTGAAGCCCTAAACCCTAAAATCCCAAAACCCTAAAACCCCAAAATCCTAGAGCCCCAAACCCTCAAAGCCCAAAACTCCTAATCTCCTGGCCAGGACCATTGTGATCAGCCCAAGTATAAGGAGTGCTCCGGCAACTGGATCAGCTACCACCCTTTCAAGGACTTCTGGGGATGGCCTGGGTTTAGGGCCAATTTAGGGTTTAGGGTTTAGGGTTTCTATAGGGGTTTAGGGTTTAGGGTTTAGGGCCAGTTTAGGGCTCAGGGTTTTATTGGTTTAGGCTGCTTTTACCTGCTGCTTAAGACACCCTCAACCCCTAAAGCTATACCCCGAACCCTGAGACTCGGGCTCAGGGCTCAACCTCTTGCAAAGTCGGACCCTTTGAGCCTTTGAACTTGGATCCTACAGGGCTTGTGAACGACCTTCATACAGGCCTTGCGGTGAAGGGGTTGGGGCTTCTCGCGAACAGGAGCCTGCACAATTGGTAACGGTATTGGCATTGTGGTACTATACCCTAAACCCTAAACCCTAAACCCTACTGCGGATATGAACCGAAGGGCCAGAGCATTTTTCGAGCAAGCTCCTGTGGGTTCGGAAGACTCAGTGCTGTGTTTTTCTTCGAACTAGGGGCCAACAAAAAGGGTCTACACAGTTTGAGTAGTACTAACATTACATTGAAACAGTAGGAGCCATCGAAACAATCACCATACGTATAAGTGATGCAGGCTTGTGCAGTAAGGGCTGTTCAGAAGATCCCGGGTCCTGTCTGCCCTTACCATCTTCGCAGCCTGCTCCTTTAGGGCCTCTCTGGGGGTTGTTTATTCCCTGAGAGCCCTATTAACCCTAAACCCCAAACCCGAAACCAAATAAATCATAATCCTGCCAGGCTTCAGAAAACCTATATTACCTAAACCCCAAACCCGAAACCAAATAAATCATAATCCTGACAGGCTTCAGAAAGGGGTGGTGCTAAGGGAGGATGCAAGGAATCAGGATGCCGGGATGAGTTGTTGGGGTTTCCCGCCTTGTGCTTGTGACACCGCTGCTAGGTGCCTGCATAGTAGGGTTGAGGGTTCGGGTTTGGGCTACAGTTTAGGGTTTAGGGGTTCAGGGAGGGTTGAGGGTTTAGGGTTCAAGGTTGATGGGGAATGAGCAGCACTGTCCAGGAGAAGGATGAATGGAAAGGTGGGGGGCCCTATGCTTTTTGTGCATGACTTCAGTTAAACCTTACGGGCCTGCATGGGAGGGGTCCAGAGTACTCGAGGACTCATGGTTTTGTGAGGGTTCAGGATCAAGGGGCGAAGGAGTTTAGGGGTGCACACGCGTTTGGACTGCCGCAGAAGCACTTGGGGCAACGGCTAAGCCTAAGTTGTTGGGTTTTATCTGCAGGGCCAAGTAATGGCTCTAAATTTGCCGTGGCCCTTCGGCTAGCCTGAACCCTAAGTCGATGCTTCTGATTCGCACTGTCCCAAGGCGAAGCACTGTTCTAAGAGTTGGCCGCCTCGAAATGATTGCTTACCTTAAGAACCCAAAACCTACTTTTTTGTAGGGTCCCTATAAATCCCAAAGTAGGGTTTATAATAAGAACCTACAAAAAAGTGGGTTTTGGGTTCTTAAGGTACAGCTGAACCCGAACCCGAAATTAAGCCTTGCGCTCTGTCTGGCTGAGGTCATGTTAGGTTGGGCCTCTCGTTTCTGAGTTGTGAACATAATGATTATGGGCTGCTGGCTTTCTAGATTGCCCACAACCCCATGGATGTATCTTAAAGGCTCTGAACCCTGAGCTCTGGCTTAACTTTCGCACAGTGACGGACCCGCGCGCACACACACACACACTCTCACT